GTGCGCTGTAGTGCGCCGCCGGCCTCTCAAACCCCGCGGCGTTGGGCCTGTCCGGCCCCTGGGTCGGGGCGGGGCGGTGGCGCGCCATATTTGCATACGGGGCGGGGCTCGAGGCGCCCCGCCTTCTCTGCGGCTGCGTGGCGTTAGCAGGTGTTCGGTTCCGAGAGTCGCTGTTCTTTGCGTTCTTGGTGTGGAGCCCAGCCTCGGTGTTCTCACAGCCCAGCCCCCGAGGACGTCCTCACACCTCCTGGGTCAATCTGAGGGTCCTAGCAGGCGAAGCCGAAGTCCTGCATCCTGGGCGTCAGCCTGTTCTGCTGCAACCCCCAGGGAAGCCCCCACTTCCCTGTGAAGTCCTGGTCTCTGGCCGCAACCCTCCTGTGCCCCCCTGTCCGCAGTCTCCTTCAGACCCACCATACCCGATCCAGCAATTGGTGATTTCTCCCCTGGCTTCCAAAGTAAAGGAGCCGCCTCCCCGGCATCTGTTTCCTCCTTTGCCTCAGGGACCCAGACTACAGTTGAGGCGGTTCTCTGTCCCTCAGAATGTGGGCATGACAAGTTTGAAGCCCTGTCGGTGTTAAGACCTGTGAAGGCTTCCCCGGATTTCTACATCTGTCGTCCCCAGCCTGCCTGTCCCCACACAAAGCCCACAAATTCAGGGCTGCCTTGATTTCTGTAGCAGCAGTAAGTGGTTCCCTCTAAGCCAAGGAGGCACGCTGGCCTGGGACTGGCACTGCCCAGGTGATCCCACTTGGCCATCCCATCGCCCCAGCTAGCTGCCTTATCTCTACCCATCAGCTCTGGTTCCCTTTGCCCTTTTGTCCCTCCATTTAAGGCACCCTGGGTGGCTGCCAGCTGGTCCTGGGTCTCCCTTGAGCCCCAAGTCCTTGTGCCCGTGTTCAAGCACTCTCCCTGAGGGCCTGGCCAGTAGCGGTCACCCACCTCTTTACATGGGCTGTGGGGAGGGAGTTGCCTCCCCGGTCTGGCCCTCCCACTGGACACTCAGACCCACTTTCCACAACAGGAACCTCCCTCATAGCCTCTTCTCAGTGAGGCTGGGTCTGCCCCTCTCTGAACTTGCAGCCCGCAGAGTGCCATGTCTGTCCTGGTTCAAAAGAGATGGGGGCCACCATTCGACTAGAGCCCTCCCCATTGCCCTCTGCCCCTGGCTTCCTTGTCCCTGACTCTGACTTCTGGAAAGAGGAATCTTCACTCAGTGTCTCCACCTCCTCCCCAGCTCCTTGCCCTTGCCAAGGTTGCTGGTGACCGCCATTTCTCTAAGCTGAGGGCCATTTGTCAGGCTGTCTGAATGGGCGTCTCTGCTGCCACAGTCTGCTGCCCACTTCTCCACACCTCCTCTCTCTCCAGTTCACCTCCACCTGCCTGGACGCCCTCATTCCTTCATGGAGTCACAAGGAGGGACAGGCCCAGGCCCAGGCCCTGCAGCTTCAATTTCAATGCAGGTCCCAGGTGTTCCCCAGATTCTCCCTGCCCCATCCTAACCCTCGGCGATCACCTGCACTTTTACAGACCTGAAGCCCTCAGAGCAAGCGAATGCTTATATGCCTGCCCCAGGCCCGGCCCCCAAACTCCAAGCACTAAGGGTCCAGGGCCAAGGGAGCCCAGACTGGGAAACTGGCACTGGTCAGGAAGCTGGGGAGGCTGCAAGCAGGGTGAGACTTCAGCCTAAGGAGAGGAGATGTAGGACACTCCACCTCAGGAAACAGCATAGCCAAAAGCAACATTTTAAGAAACTTTGAAAAAAATCTACTTCATTCAATTCCCCATAAAACAAAGTAGAAAAAGTGATGTTGCTGCTCAGAATTAGATGAATGTGCTAACTGAAAAAATTCTCTTGATCCTTAAACATAATTGGCCCCTACAATGCTTCCACTTGATCATCTCATTGCAATGATATTTATGCATACATACACATAGATGTTTGCGAGTTATCAGGCACTTCATTAAAAAGCATATAACCCAATTAAGAATAAAAAGTTTGTTAGAATTCAAATTTTTTTTTACCTCCAATTTACTAGGTTACTTGCTGGGCTTATACAGTAAGGGTGGATCATACTTTTTAGTCAAATGTAGGGAACTTTTTTACCATCATTCTTAAGGCATCTCAAAGACAGGCGGCAAGGCGGGCAGAAACCAGCAGCCCCGACACCAGAGGTTTAGGGAGACAGTTCCCTCTGCAGGTTCAGAGAGCAGATCGGCTTTGCTCACTGTACTCTGGTTTTCTGCCCAAGTTCTGGTGTGAGAGGTCACAGTGGGTCTCTGGTGGGGCTGCTGGCACCTCCAACCAGATCGTGTCAAGCTGAGCTTACCTCCCCCCTGCATCACCACCAGCTTCCACTCAGTTATTTCCATTTCAGGCAAGAGGCTCAACCACCCAGCTGGCTGCGAGCACCAGCAGCCTTCGAGTCACGGCTCACTCTTCATGACTCATCAGGCCCCGAGATTCTGTGGCTTCCCAGCTCTTCCCCTGCCCCACTGCTGCCACTGCCTCTCAGGCAGGCCTTCGTTTCTGGCCTGGGTCTTCTCACAGCTTCGAACCTGGTCTGCCTGCCCAGTCTTCTTTATGCTACAGCCACGCGATCTTCCTAACTGATACATCTGACCAGCCACTCTCCTCCTGGAGTCCTTCAACCCTCCCCGCTAAGCATTTTGGGGTATGCTTTAATCTGCACAATTATCCTTTGAGGAAGGATACCATTACCTTCATTTTGTGGACTAGGAAACAGGCTAGGGAGGTTAAATACCTTGCCTGGGGTCAGCTGGCTTACAAGTAGTGAAATTGAAACTCAAACTCCACAGGCTAAGCCCAGCCTGTGCGGCTCATTACACCACCTGCTTCCTTCACACGAGCTCAGGGAGCATCTGGTGACCAGTGACAGGGCCAGGAGAGACCCAGGTCATCTTCCTCTGGGTCACCCAGCACTAAGTAGGGTCTTGGGATGAGATGGGCCAGGGGATGTGGAAGAGAATGGCTAGGGGCATATACCTCCACCTTCTCCCTCAGAGCTCTGTACCCCCTGGCGTGAAATCACGGTGTCACAAGCCCATGGCCTATCATTGTGCAGGTTGGGAGTTCCAGGAATAAAGGAGGAGGGACTTTGGGAAACTCGAGCCAGAGAGCCTGATAGGGAGAGGTACAGAGGGATTCAGGGTAGGGTCCTGACTTCCCCAAGGGTTTTAATGGGGACAGAAGGGCCCACCACTGTCTGAACTGAAAGATGGTGGGAGAGGGAAATCCCATGGTACTTTACAGAGACCTTGGGAAGGGAGGGGATGGCTGGGGAGGTAGAAGCCAGGAATAAAATTACAAATGATTGGAGAAGTGAGCTTATCCTGAGGAAGCCACTTCAAAGAAGAAAGAAGAGAGTCCTGCAGCCTGACCCGGCAGCCTTATCAAGAACATCAGGAAACTGCAGATGACGTGTCCAGGCAGGGAGCCTTGTCCCAGTGGACGGTCCCATTCTTCCGAGTGGCCATGAGGACACACCAGAGGGTGTGACTCTGAGACAGGGCACTGGCTCTCCTGACCAGGCTAGATAAGAGATATGTGTGGCCCAGGCAGGGCTGGGAGGAGACCAAACAAAATATAGTTTCACTTTGGGCAGGAGTTGGGGGAATATGTGTAAAGGTGACTTTTTTGTATAATTAAAATAAGTAGAGCGTATAAAATAACACAGAAATTTTTTAAATAAAAAGTGTCCTTTGGGTAAACACAAGCAGGACACTGGTAGAGGGAGGCTCCAGGAGCTCAGCTAGGGGCAACCAGCCCTGCAGGGGACCCTGAGTAGTGCCCAGTGGCTCCAGCTGGATGTCAGGCCCGGGAGAGGCAAGAGGTCAGAGGCAGATGATTAGGGTGATCCCAGAAACCGAGCAGCACCCCTTTCTCGCTGACCCCAACCTTTGAGGGCTGATGTGAAAGGGCCTGATTGATCCTTGCTCCGGGTGGACCAGCAGCAGCAGGCAGGGAGCCCAGGGGCCGGCTCTGACCACCAGGGGGCAGTGTGGGGCTCTCTCCCTGGGCTGCTTAGAGGAAGGAGGGGTGAATCCGGCTGATTTACAGTAAACCAGGGCCTGGCACTGGGCCTGGCACAGGGAGCAGGTTCTCAGAAAGGGCTCTGGGTGAATCCTCATCCCTGGGTGCACCGTCTGCCCCGTTCTGGGCTCAGCATCCTGAAGGCCAGCGCAACCTCCTTTGACTCCAGCAGTCAGAATTCACAACGCCTGGGCCCTGTCAGCCTTCAGCCCTAAGCCACTCTGATGCCTGTTGAGCAGCTACTATGTGCAGGCACTGAGCTAGGCTCTGGGGAGACAAAATTGAGGAAAAGCGCTTCTACCCTACCCCGGGGGGCTGGAGTCACAGACAATGATGTCCCAATGCCAAACCAGAAACACTGTTACTTCAAGCAGAGGTGGCACAAAGGAGGGAGGGCCCAGGAGGCTCAGACAACCCCCAGGGGGTGCTCTCTAAATGAGGTCTGAAAAGATGAAGAGGCTTTGAGCAGGGGAGACACACGATCCTGTTCGTGTTTAAATCAGAGACGACCAAACCACATAAAGCTGGGCAGCTGCTGATGAGATGGAAGCAGGTGATGATCCCTGAGATACCTGCATTTGTATGACAGGAGGCGGGGTGCGGGGGGTGCACAGGTGCTTTACCTGATGTGCATGCAGACCCTGCTGACAGTGGTGGGCCCTGTGGACCAGAGAGGGAAGGACATCTCCCACTGTAGCTGTTCTGGTACTGTGGGACATTTTTACTAGGTGCACATATTATCTTTTAAAAAAACCGAGAGACAAGGAGGAATGCAGAGCAGGTGCTTAAATGAGTCTCTTTGCAGGGTGATGCAAATGTTGTGGAAACAGAAGTGGTGGGTGCACAGCACCGTGAAGGCGCTAAACGCCACTGATGTGCTGACTTTAAAATGGTTAAATTCAATGTCAAAAAAGACAATAAAACAAAGTACTTCCAGGGGTGGCTACAGGTGGGGACGCAAGCTGGGACACGATTACTATGGACCAGGCCCACAAAGGGGCCCATGTGATGTGGTGGTGGGAGCAGAAGAGGGGTAGCCCAGCCTGGCTGAACTCTGGGCAGACACTGTGGCCCAGGGTTGACCCACCCTGAGAGAGGTAGGCCTCTGAAATGTCGGAGGATACAGGCCTGCACCCATACACCCCCAGCCAGGGGATTCACTCCCCACCCAGGGAATATATCTTGCCAATTCTGGCCTGTCATTGATGTCAACCACAAGATGGTCCTAAGCACACTTACAGTAAGAAGTCATTACAGGGAATGTTGGGGGCATCCTCAACCACAGGCCTCAGGAACACACGGCCACATGAGATCAGTGCACAGCCATCTCCCTCCTAGAGTTATCCGACAGGCCCCAGCACAGGTGGGACCACATGGGGCTCCTGCTTCTCACAGTCTGAGTCTCTAGGGGAGGGATGGGGACACTGGCAAAATGTTACGTTCACAGGGACCTCAGGGGAAGGGTCCAAGGCTTGGGGCATGAAGCCCACTAAGGAATGGGGAAATGGCCCAGAGGCAGAGGCTCTTGGTTCAGAAGAGAAACTGAAAAACAGCTGGCGGCAAAGAGCCGACTGGAGACCAAATCTCTTTTCCCTACGAGATCAGGACTTCTTCATCTTGGGCCAGGCCACCTGAGGGTGGCAGCAGAAAAGTGCTGACAAGAATGCACAGGTCTCGGGAGGCAACTGCAAAGGAAGAGGGAGCAGCAGGAGCGCGTGTCCAGCCGCCAGCCTGAGGAAGAGGAATGGGAGGCGAGAGCGGGGCAGGAAGGATGGGAGGGCCGCTGGCAGTCCTCCAGCACTGGGAGGAACCGGCAAGACGGACGTGTGCACAGGCCACAGAGAAAGTAGGTCTTATGTTCTCCCTGATGTTGTATATGTACACCCAATTAAAACACAAGGTATTAGAAAAGACATAAATATCGACTTCTATAAACTTCCAGGTAAAATGTTCTCATTTGGAACGGGTATGACTTTGGACACTGAGTTTTACACCTGACAGGGATGCATGCAATTCTTGGCTGAGAAGTTTGGACCATGATTCCTGATGGCCATTCCTCACATTTATGGAGCACGTCCATGTGACAGGTGCCAGGAACAAGAGTAAACAAGACAGATCAGGGAAAGACTTGGCTGGCACTTGTCAAAGGAAAAAAGCAGCTGGGTATCTCTCTCTGTAATGGAGAAACTTCTCAGCATGGATCACTATCAGCTACTGCAGCCCCTTAAATTCACGTCCAGTGCTTCCTTCTTCATGGATGTTGTCCGTCCTGGAGATAATGCACTCAGGAACCCCCACCTCACGGAAACGTTTCCATATCAAGTATTTCACACTGATGTTGATCCATTTGTTTATTTAGGACTCAAATTAACACTGACCAAACATATTACTAAGTCACTTATTTTCACTTTTCCAAAGTTAGATTTTGCTTCAAAGCCACACATTCACTCACTACACATATCTTCACAAGGTCCTCGGAATTTTTATTACATTCATTGAAATGCTCCACAATGTCAGCCCAGCAATCCATTTTTCAACCAATAACCATCCTACGTAAGAACAAGAGAGTAAAATTAGTCACACAACTTTTTTTCTCTTCCATCTTTAGCTTGTAAGCTTTTGACAAAACATGTCCTTAGCCAGTCAATGCACTTCAGGAAGTAATAGGACAGAGATGTGTCCCTCTGTCTTCACAGGAAGATAAAAACAGGGGACAGGACAGCTTGGATTGTGTGAACTTCCCTGTGCTATCGATGGCACCGATGGATGAAATCAGACCCGTAGGCTGTCTCCGGCCAGGGGCGCTTATAACTGGCAAACCGAGCTGAGCAGCCATGCCTGGGGCTTCAGCGATCTAAAGCAGAAGCCTTTTGTTTGTTGTGTTCTGTCACGACATGGGTCAGAGTGTCTGCATGACAGTGGGTCCACTGATTCTGCTTCCTCTGTCCCAAGCACAGCCTTGATAAATTCCATATGGTCACGTGAAATGGGGGCCTCTGCACATGTGGGAGGCATTTCAGCCCTAGTGACAGTAACGTGACACTGCACCTAACAGTTTCCGGCACAATCTGACCTGAATATAACAAAGGTCATGCTTTTTTCTTTTTTGACAGCAGGCTATTTTTTAAAATCCACACACTTTTCTATTAACTTGACAGCATAGTGTGAAGCACCTGTGAGGCAGGCTCAGCACTGCTGCCTCACTTGGTAACCTCTTCTGCAAACAGGACATTTTGGGGAGGACATTTTGGGGAGGACAATCAAGACATATGAATTCATGTTTGAGACATTCGCTCTACTGCCTGGCCATTTTTTTTTGACCAGTGTTAGTCTTGTGTATTTGATGACATTCAGGATTTAAATAAAATGTGGGAAAGGAAGTATCTATAAAAATTAAATCTATTGCTGGAACAAAAAAGGGAATCTGAATAAAGACTGTAGTTTACGTTTCTAGCATCATACTAATGTTAATTTCTTAGTTTTGATAAACGTGAGCTGTTAACTCTGGGGGAAGCTGGGCAGGGTATGTAGGAGGTTGGTACCATCCTGGAAACTCCTCTGTAAATCTAAAATTATTTCAAAATAAAGTTATAAAAATAATCTACAAAATATAAAATATGTAAGGAGAGTATAATAAAGGCTTTGTCACTTCAGGAAATGGATAAGAGGAAGTTGAAGATCTTCTGAAATCTTCAGAAGTGTTAAAAATAAGTTGCCTTGAAAAAGTAAAAAATTAAGCATGGAACTTATACAAATAGGAAAAATTGAAATACTAATTTTAATTCAATAACTAAAACTGAAAAATTTATAAAATACAAATGACTTACTTTTGTATTATAAGCTATTTTTGGAAAACTGATTTTCTGAAGCCTTAAAGGCATACAGTCCACTTCGATGAATCATTTAATGGACTGGTTTAAACTATGTTCAATGTTTTGTTTTTAAAACAAACTTGGAAATGTTTCTAGAAAAACAAATGATAACTCATTATGCAATTCCATAAGACTTTGGCTAATTTTTAACATCAAAGCTAATGATAAATAATCAGGAATAACAAAGAATATTAACAAAATAAATTATGCCGTATTTGGGAATACCTAATATCAGATAATAAGGATAATACTAAGAATTAAAAAATAAAGATAATAATCACACGTATCTTTTAGTTTTAGTAAATAAGTAAGAAGATATGAAATTCAAAGACAATGAGTATTTTGCATGCACATGCAAAGATCTCATGATACAGAAATTATGACTAAGCAGCAACTATCCTCTGTGGGCCAGACCTCTGGGAAGGTTGGGCAGGGGCCCTTGGGGCAGTCACAGAGTCCTCTGCACTTACCAGCAAAAGAACACCCCGGTTCAGGAAGTTTGCAGAGGAAGCTGTGTGAAAAGTGCTCAGATATGCCTTCAGCTGCTTCTGAAAGGCTATGTTTTTAAAAGGACATCCCCGTGATAGAACACTGACAAGCATGAGGCTGCACCCCACTTGGTGGCATGCCTTGGGGGGAGCCCCTGGAGGCCCCTCTGGTTGAAGAAACCAGACTCAGATCCCTGGAGTTCATGTAACGAGACCGTGTTTAATGAACACCGAGTACAGATGAGGGCTGTGGGCTCAGAGGAAGGGAGACAGCAAGGGCTGCAGCGGGGGTGGTGCTGTGACACCACTTCCCAGAACCTCTCCCTTTCACAGGAAGTCACTGTCCCCCTCAGAGCCTCTCAACAGTCCTATAGGGACAGCAGAGCAGGGTGACTGGCCCCATTTTATAGTTGGGGAAACAGTTCCAGGGAGGCTCACTGGCTTGCTCAAAGTCACACAGGGTTCCTGGTCCATCTTTCTGTACCATTATGGCCTGGCTCAGGGGAGACATGAGCAGGTGGGCAGAGGAGGATGAGCGCCCCACGGGAAGAGCAAGCAAAGTGTGGAGGACAGGGGTGTGGTGTGTGGGGACACTGACAGGGGTAGAGTCAAGTGGGAATCGACCTGAGGGGCAAGACCCCCTGGCATCTGTGGCCCAGGCTGCCCTGGTCCCGGCACAGCTGCTTGGGTGTCTGCTTCTCCCTTCTTCCCGCTGGGGTACCCAGGCCCTCAGGACCAGCTGAGGGAGGTCACAGGGTGAGAGGGCCGCTCCCTGCAATGCTCACTGGCCAGTCTTCACTTGGCACCTACTGTGCATAGGCCCAGGTTAGGGCCAGGCAGGGAGGGTGGGGGAAACCACGTTCTGTGGCCGACCACAGTACTGGCAGAGGGAGGCAGAGGGACGCAGAGGGAGAACTTGTGCTACACAGTGGGAAGAATCATGAAGGAGCCACGTGGGCAGGGAGCTGGGGAGGGTGCAGCCCCAGTGAACGGGCATGTGGAGCCCAGTGAAGGGGAGGGGGCAGGGCTGGGAGAGGAGAATGCCCCTGAGGGGTCTAGATGGGATCCTGGGGCCCAGGTCACTGCAGCAAAATGGGGCAGCTGCAGGGACTTGCAGGGAGCTAAGGAGGCCCCAGGCTGGAGAGGAGGAGGGCTGAAGAAGATTCCATGGGTCCAGGCTTCTCTGGGCAGGCCCCTGGAAATGGAGCTGGCTGGTTTCGGGTCAGTCAGAGGGCCCCTCCCTTGGTGGCCTCTCCAGGCATAACACACAATGAGGCCCAGGAGAAGCTTCAGGCTCTGCAGAAACACAAGGATACGTCACATCCCCTCCAGCCCTTCATCCCACTGGCCCTTGGCCTCCCTCAGGAGGGACCCAGAGCCCTGTACCAATCCTGCCCTCCTCTCTTTCACCTTGCAGTTCCTGTCCAAGAGGCAGGCCCGGGAGGCCAGCACAGGGAGGAGGGAACTGAGTCAGAAGCTCCAGGCAGATGCTCCTGTCAAGCAACAGTCCCCAGGGCACCTGTCAGCTTCTCAGGACCAATACATCTCTAGGGAACTGCCAGCAGCAGGCCAGGCAGGGGACTGCAGAACCCGCTTGGGAGCCATGCTAAGAGGCACCAGCAGGGGGTGCCACGGACCCACACTTTGTGGCCGGATCCTTCTGCCTTTCCAGCCTCGTCCTTCCTACCCCCGCAGAACTAAGGCTCAGAGGCTGCAAGATGTCACCCTTCCCAGGCCTTGGGCATAGAATACCTACACAGAGCAACAGCCAGGGCCTGAGTCCAAGGTAGAGATGGTAGCAAATCTAGGCAGGTCTGAGAAGGGCTAGGAGGGACAGGCCTGGCCAGCTGAGGCCCTGGCATCACTGCCCAGCCCGCTCCCAGAGCCCGGCTGCATCCTGATGGTGCGACCTATGTATGTTGGGGTGGGGTCTTCATTCACCGCCCCTTCCCTGAAGAGAGGGGCCAGCTACCACCATACCCAACGGCAGCAGCTCGGCCACTGGAGGCTCACGCCTGTCACTGAGTGTCGGGGTCTTGGAAGCCCCAGGCTTCCACAGCAGCGATGAGGAAGTTCTCAGAGCACAGCGGCTGGTTGTTGAAGGTGTCGCAGTGGCCGGTGCGGCCCCGGTTCAGGTCCCCATCGATGTACAGTGCCTGGCCGCCCCCTCCACCTGTGGGATGCTCTGTCAGTGGCTGCGCTCTGTCCAGCACTGCCCCAGGGGCTCTCCTCCTCCTGCTCCTGAGCATCTCTACATGGACAGGGCAGGCCCTGAAGCTGTCCCTGCCCCAGCCCTGCCAGAGGCCTCTCTCAAACCACAGGGCTGACCCTCCACTCTCCAAAGTCCCCTGGCCCTCAGCTGGGGTCCAAGCTCTAGGCTAGATCTGCTAATGAGCCCGTTTCCCCAGCCTGCACCCTCATGTCCCTGTTCCCGCCTCTCGTGCCTGCCCCACCCCCCAACACTTTCTTCCTCTGCCATCATAGGGGCTCTGCCTGTCTCTCAGGTGAGGCACCTACCACTCACGTCAGCAAGGGCTGGCCCAGCAGCTTTTGCTGCCCATGACCCTGCAACCTCCACCCAGGCTGAGTGACCAAGGGCTGGCAGGAGCCGGGCTGGCAGGAGCCCAGCTGGAGGCGGAAGGAGGCACCCACCTATGATGAGGCAATCGTTGCCCCCAGCCATGAACAAGGACTCAGTCTTGGAGGGTAGGTTGAAGTGCCGAGCAGCCAGGAACGGCGAGAGACGGTCAGCGGGGTCTGAGGACGTGGAGTGGCAGAGTGAGGAAGGAGTGGTGGTGGGTTCCATGGACACGGGCCTGGTCAGCTCCGGGTGTTTGATGACCACCCACTCATAGCGTTGGACCTCGGGCTGCAGCTGAGGGCAAAGGGGCAGCACAAGGAGCTGGCACCGGCCCTGCAGAGCCCCTTCTGCCCACTTTTCCCCACAATCCATCATCAGCACCCTCTCCGTGTGAGGCCCCGAGCCAGGGGCTAGGAGACGGCGCCGCATGCACGGGTAAAGGCCTGCCTGCTCTCATGGCACTCATGGTCTAATGATCACCAGCCAGAAGGGAACAGGGTGGTACCTGTGCGGTAACTGCTATGACGAAAGTAAACAGGGTCACATGAGTGGGGGTGACGTGGGGTTGGGGGTCAGGCCTGTCGACCCAGTAACTCCCGCAGGGAGACTCACTCACCCTAAACACAAAGCATTCTCCAGTCCCAAAGAAGCCCAGTTTGCCTCCAAACTTATTCCTCTCACTCCAGTCTGTTGACAGGTAAGCTCCACACACCTGGGGAGAAAGGCTCAGGGTGAGGCTGCACCCTGCTTAGGGCCTGCTGGGGGACCATGGTACAGCTGGGGGGTACTGTTGTCACAGCCCCACCCTCACCACTTGAGGGCTAGGGGTGGAGAGTAGTATGGGAAAGTCAGAGTTTATAGGTGTGAGCTGGCAGTGAGAGTGGGAAGACTGCCTCGGCCACCATTAGCTTCCTGGGGATATTTTCATTTCCCTCCTTGGCCTTAAGGCATGGGGGTAAGCTCCATGTCCACACTCGGGTTGTGGCATCAGCCCCAGGGAGGTGACTCAGATGGAAACTTTCAGGAGGTACCCCTGCTCAGGAAACATTTCCCAACCCCAGCATCAGCCAACAAAATGCTCGATTAGAGAGTCACTTCTTTGAGTGGCACAGCGTTTGCACAAAGTATCTGACAATCAGTCACCTGCTATAATGCAGATGCCCAGGCTCCTGCTGGCAACCCAGATGCAGAGTCTGGAATGAGGTGAGGGACCTATAACTCCCACAGGTGTAGGTCTGGGAGCCATTGAACAAGGAGCCTCTAATGCAAGCAGAAGCCCCTAGGATGGGGGCACGTGAGCTCTGACTTTTCGAGGCATCTCAGGGTACTTTCCAGATGCCAGCTACTGCAGAAAGCCAGGCCTTGAGCACTACTCGTTAAGGGGGTGGAGGCAGGTAAAGGCAGACGACTCACCTGGCACTGCTGCTGCAGAAAGAGGCAGGGCCTCACTCACGACGCATTTCTGCAAAGCTCCTCTAAACTGCCAGGCTGTTTCAGTAGTGGCCTGGACCCCCAGGGGAAACAGGGAGGCCCTGAGTACTTGGTGGTCACATGGGGAGGCTGGATTCGCCTCTCTGTAGAGGGCCAGCCCTGCTCTGCACCCCAAAGCGCAGGAAGCCTGGGTTGGGGGTACAAGGGAACACCCACCCTCCTTGGGGCATGAGAGCAGCAGATTCCTCAGAGCTCATCAGAGGCCAGGAGCCCAGGCTCCTTCTGGTCCCTCCTCACCTCCTTTTGCGTGGTCTTGATGAGCAGGAGGGTGGGCTCATGTCCTTCACATTGGAAATAGAACCTGGGGGCAGAGATCACACATGCCAGACCTGATGGCAGCCATCACCCTGGCACCCCTTCCCCAGCACCCACAGTGTCTGAGAAACTCAGGCTGTCTGGGGGTGGACCAACCTGGGAACTGCTTTTCCTCACCTCCTCACAGAGCCAGGCACTGTGGGCAAGAACTGCAACACCTTGGCCTGGGCACTTTTCTCAGCTAAGATGGAGCACTGGCCAGGAGGCCTGCAGGCCAAGCGGTCAGAGGCCCCAGGACTCTCGGCCTGGTATGATGCAGAGGAGAAGCTGCACAGTGGACAGAGCCAAACGCCAGGTGCTTCAGGGAAGCAAGAACCAGAGGAACAGGTCCCTGCTGTAGGAAAGCTCAGAACGTCCTTGGGAGCTGGGCAGCACCAGGAAGCATGTGAGGAGGCCTGAGGCTGCCACTGTGATGGTGCCAGGTGCCCAGGACTTGGCTGGCATCCCTGATGGCCCTGCTAGGCCATCCCTCAGCAGGCCTCCCACACTGCAGAGGTGAGAGTCAGGTAAATACAGCTGTAGCTACGCCATGTTTGTGGGGTCATTGACAGTACCTGCCATGTGGGCTGGGCCAGCTCCACCTGTGTCATCCCTGCAGGGTCACCTGTGACCCAAGCCAGAGCTTCTGAGGCCACCTGCCATTTAAGGCTCTAAGGGGGTGGTCCTACCTGGTAGAGTGACCTTGAGAGACAGTGGGCCCTGAGGGAACCCGGTCAGAATGCCCTGGACGTTGCCAGGGCCTGGCACAGGCACTACCCACAGGGCTGACCTGGCCTACAGACTGACGGAGTCGGGGTGGAGCAGTAGTGACCAAGGCCTGTTGCCTCCAGCTATCCTCTCTGACAGTTCTGAAAGCTCCCTCTGCAAAGTCTGCCTCCTGTATCACCACATTACCTACATGGGGGCCTGGACCCCTGAGGTTTGTGTGGTCCAGGAGTGAGAAAAGCCCAGAAAAGGGGCTCCTAATTCTAGCGTCCCCCACAAAGAGGGAGGATGCCCACATTCAGAGGCCCATTTCCAGCTACCACTGTGACCTCTCGGAAGCGTGGGCAGGGTGAGAAGATGGGCAGCCCCTCACCTCACTCGACCCCTTCCACACTGTCCATCTGGCCCTCGGAGCCCAGGCCTCAGGGCCTTGGGAGGGCAGGCCGAGACTCCTCCGGCCTCCTGGGCGTTACCTGGTCAAGCTGTACCCGTGCTGCAGTGAGGAGAAGAGCAGGAGGGGCTGGCAGAGGGCGAACCGCTCAGGGACCCACGACCAGATGTCTCTCATCTCCTTCACGCTAACAATCTCCGAGTGGAAGTTCTCCGCGTGAACAGCCAGGTGCACAAACTGCCTGGGGAGAGTGGGGAGAAGTTCAGAGCACAGATCTGATCCCAGCCCTGGCCAGTCCCCCACCCTGGAGGTATGCAGAGCCTTTCATGGGAGTCAAGACTAAAGTAAACTTCTCACCTATTCAGCCAGGTCAGAGCCTGGTTCTAGATGCCCTCAGGGAGACACGGGGTAGAGCTGTCCCCTAGAGCCCCGCTCCCATCCCGCTACAAAGAGGGGAGAGCACCCAGCCCCAGTGGGGACAAAAGCACCTTTTCTCAGAAATGGGGACAGAAAGCAAGTCAACTCCAGCAAGACAATGCTTCAAGGCCAGCCAAGCACCAGCAGGCAGGCAGCCAGGCAGCCAGGCAGACAGAAAGACAGAAGCCAGCCCTGAGAGCCAGAGCAAACAGCCAGGCCCTGGGACAGCCAGGCTGGAAGACAGAGATAAGCCAAGTGTGGAGACATGGTTTCCAGACCTACCTTTTAGAAAGTGAAACACTGAAAAACAGGAGGAAGCAACGGACACGGAAAAGATGAAGAAAAATAAAACAGACAAGGAGAGGTTAGTGGCAAGTACTGATGCCCAGGACATGCCTGCCTTTGGCCCAAGAGAAAGGCCTCCACGTCTACAGCACCGTCACAGTGCCTACCGTTGAGAAGGTCTCAGGACACATGGGCCCTTCCCAGGCCTGCTCCCCAGGGGGCCGTGCCTGGCAGCCAGGAGAACAGCCAGCAAGAGAGCCCGGAGCTGGAGTGGTGGAGCAAGTGCTCTAAAATGACTCAAGGAGTCAGCCTGGCTCACTGCTGGGCCTTCTGGTGCCATGGGCAGCATCCAGCTTCCATCCCAGCCAGAGGCCCCATGCCCAAGGACAGCACCCTGTACCTTCAGCAGCCTGTGACTATAGCCAGGTAGGTCTTTCTCCTTTCCTGTGGTTTTCTACCTACGCATGGATGGCTGGCCAGCTGGCTGGCCGGACAAGCTCACACCTCAAGCCCCCAGTATGCATTCCGCCAAAGCCCCACCCCACCCAGGCCCTGGTGCCCTGCCCTGAATCTGGCCACACCTGTGGCCCCAAGGGACCTGCCTACCTCTTCTGCTTGACAGTGATGCCCTTCTGCTTCAGAGCTTTCTCATTGGCCATCTGCAGGAGCTGAATCTCCTTCCGAGAGAAGAGGCGGATGGCAAATGCTTTCTCCAGCAGCTTCTCGGGAGACACAGTCTTGGCAATGTCCTTGACAAAGGTGCGGATGTCCTGCTTCACGTTGTCTGACTCGAGCGGCTGCCCAGCTTTCACCTTGTGGAAGAATTTGAGGATGGCCAGTGCGACACGGTACAGCACCTTGTAACCTTCCACCAGGAAGACGTCAAAGACGCGAGCAAAGTAGCTGAGGGGCAGCTCCCCAAACAGCCAGCGCTGCCAGTCCGCGTATACCTGCAGGACGTCCTCGGACACAGCCACCATCAGCTTGTGGGCTGCCTGGCAGTACTTGTTCACCAGGTCCCCGAACGTCATGCAGGAAGACTCGAAGGCCAGGAAGCTCTGGTCAATCAGCTTCTTGCTGGGGTCGTTGCAGGCCAAGATGCGGCAGGCTTTCTCAAAGCACTCGGCCTCGTCGATGCTGTAGTGGAGCAGCAGGGCCACGACCGCAGGCAGGGCAGGACAGAAGGAGATGTCCGGGAACTGGTTGGCGATGCACAGCAGGATCTTACGCACAGCGCCCTCGCCCCGCGTGTTCAGGCAGTAGCTGGGCACCTGCGTGTTGTCCACAAACTCAGGCAAAGGCAGGCTGCCACTGCTGTGCTTGCCCACGAGCTTGCCAACAATGTCACTGTACACACTGGCATCGGGGGTGACTGTGCGGCAAGGGATGTCCCGGATCAGGCGCTGGTACACCTTTCCCCGTAGGGCGTAGCTGCGGGCCCAGTAGCCCTGGCGCGCCAGCTGCTTTAGCTCCTGCAGTTCGGTGCAGCTCAGCTCCTTGGGCCCCAGGTCCTGGATGGCGGCATCCATCTTGTTTTTGTCCACAAAGCAGTTGTACCCCGGGGAGTCCATCGTGAAGGGTGTGCCTGTGAGGAGGCTCTGGGCTGCTAGGAGGGGGCAAAGAGCAGCTAAATCCAGCAGCCCCCTCTCTGAGGCTCTTCTGCTAACCTGTTTGCCATGCTATATCCTATAGGATTAAAAGCCATGCTTAATACATGTATATGAAGGTTCACATTTTTAAAAAACAGGTTTTTGTTTTAATCTTTTTTATAAAGTATCAGAAAGGCTTCCATTTAAGGTAAGTGGATATTCTGAGAATTCACTATGAACTCTGGAGTATAACTTCTTTCCTTGGGGCTTATGAAGCTACTGAATAGGTCACACAGATTCTGGGTAGTGAGAGGCAGGCTAGAGATGAGTTTCTGAAAGGGCTTTGAGAGGCTTACCCTGCTGAAAACAACTCTCTGTCCCAGGGGTGAGTGGCCCACAAGGCTCCCACACTTCACCCTGTGGCCTGTGGGCCTTCTGAAAAGGAGCTACTAGTCAAGAAGACTCCATTAAGCCAAGAGATGCTGCGTTTCAGTTCTCAAAGGCTTCAGGCCTTCAACCGGCCTGCATCATGAGGAAGACACACACCTACTCTGCCAGCCGTCCCTGGGTTGGAATTTGGAGGCCAGCTTTTAATGTTCTAAAAATACCAGCTTAGTTTCAGGCAGGTATTTCAGAGAAGAATCATTGGTGGTGAGTAGACATGAGGGCTGAACAATAAATGGAAGGCATTACAGCTTCAAAATCAGACATTTATGCATCCAAATGAGCCAGAAGTATGGGGGATTTGGTGCTGCCTCTCCATTATAGGCAACTAATGAGATTCATGTAGACATTAAAAAAATGGGTAAAATGTGCTATCTGGGACTCCGGCTGCATGTGGACAGTGAGATAGAAGCCTACCGTTCAGAACACCACAGTTTAACATCTGTTTTTGCCAAAGGCTACTGCTGTCAGCACAAAAGACAACAGTTTGCCTGCGTACCTCAGACTAACCTTTCTGCCTGCGATGGTACAACTGTCGAGATATCACAAAGGCTTGCTTCAGTGAGTTCTGGTAAATGACCAGATCATTCCGGTTTCTCCTGCATCGAGAACATTCATCTGAAAATATAAAAAGCAAGTAATGCTTTAAAAACATTAAGCGGAAAGAACTGTAATATAAGGCCTCTATGAGTCAGGTGTCTTGAGAAAGCACCTTGATGTGGTGCTTTTTTTATTGTGTTAAAATATGCATAACAAACATTAACCGTTTTTAAACAGTTCAGTGGCATTAAGTACATTCACAATGTTGTGCAACCATCACCACCATCCATCTCTAAAACTTTCTCATCTTCCCAAATGGGAATTCTGTCCCCATTAGATACTCACTCTCCATTCCCTCGCCCCCACTCCTGGCACCTACCACTCCACCTTCGAAGAACTGGACCACTCCAGGTACTTCACACTAGTGGAATCTTATAGTATTTGTCCTTCCTTGTCTGGCTTATTTCATTGATCACAATGTACTCAAGGTCCACATATGTTTATAGCATGTATGAGAATGTATTTTAGGTTTACAGTAAAATTGAGAGGATGGTAGAGATTTCCCACACACCCTCTGCCCCACACAGGCATAGCCCCCCATTATCAACATTCCCCACCAGATGGTACATTTGCTACAACTGATGAAATTACACTGACACATCACCCAAATCTATAGATTAATGAGGGTCCATTCCTGGTCCTGCACATTCTATGAGTTTGGACAAATGTAAACTTATACGTATCCTGATTATAGTATTATTCAAAGTATTTCTGCTGCCCTAAAAATCCTGTGTTCCACCTATTCATCCCTGCTCACCCCTCACCACCAGAATTTCATTCCTCATTATGGTTAATAATATTCCATTGTATGGATAGAACACATTTTATTTATCCACTCATCTGTCAATGGACTTTTGGGTCTTTCCACCTTTTAGTTGTTGTGAATAATGCTGCTGTGAACACGCCTGCACAAGTATCTGTTCAAGTCCCTGGACATATATCCAGTGACACTGTTTTTACAGGGATCTTTCCGCAGGAAACATTAATTAAAATAAGATTTTGTGACATCTATTTAACATGTCCCAGTAGAAAAGCCTTGCCCACAACAGGACCAGGCCTGCTGCCAGTGCTGGAACCCTCTTCCCCAGAAGAAAAGAAACCCAAATGGCAGTTGGTTTGTTTGCTCTGTCCTGGGCTGGACAGCAGGAGGGGCTCCCCCTCCCAGGTTGTGAAGGCTAGGCCAACAGGCCCACTCGCATCCCCACGGCCACTCCCAGGCCCAGCACTCCATGATCTTCCATGGATAAGTTACCTATAGAGTTTATATCCTTCATTCCAGGCTCTGAGTCCACTAGCCTCTGGGGGGACCCCAGGCCTATCCTGTTTGTGGGAATAGAACCTGCTCCTTTTCAGGGCAATAAACACGCTTATAAACAGAACAAGAGCTGGGCAGGACAACACCAACCCTCACTCGACTGGCTTCAGATTCAGGTTGAATATTAAACTGGAAACTCCAAAAATGATTAGTGTACCTTGCAAATTCCTTCAGAAAGGGCCTTCAGGGAGAAGTAGGCCTATGGTTTTATTTGCTGCAGCAAGCGGGCCTGGGAACACACTGGATTCGGAGGGACTCCAAGGCAAAGACATTTGCAGAAGACCCTGAAGAAGCCCCTCCAGACCTCTGCAGGCTCCCACCCGAAAAGATAGCATGGTACTTCCAGAGCAGAGCAAATAAGGCTCGTGATGACCTCCTCAGGCATCTATAAAACCAGGGATCAGGGTAGATTTTTATTTGCTTATTTATATGAATACATAATCACGATAAAGTCAAATAATACAAAATTATAGAGTAAAAATGTAAAGTCCTGTTTAAGCTACCCCTCAATCCTCTTCCCTCTTCTAGCTAAAACAATCATCATTCACATTTTAGTGCACATCCTTCAAAACCTTTTCTTGCATTTACATGCACACATATTCACACCCCAGTGAGACTGTTTAAGCTGGCTACTGGGAAGGGGAAGTCAGGAGGTGGGAAACAGACCAAAACCTAAAGTCATCTGGGTTGGACCCACACGGTCTAGAAGTAAGTTTCAGAACTGAAGCGATACCCTCCCCCAGTTATTCCGTCTGCAGCTTGTGGCTGTCACACAACACTGTCTACACTTCCTGCTCCCTTGTGGAAACAAGGCTTCACCTGTTCCCCACCGCCTCCAACTCCTGACAAAGGTGTCAGGCCTGGGAAGGAGGCCATGCTTCCTGGTCGGCACCAGGCAGTCGGGAGTAGAGAAGCAAGGCAGGAGTGAATGTGGGCAATAATTGAATTTAAAGTCAGACAGGCTGAGCTTCAAAGTCCAGCTTTGCTATCTGTCTGGCCAAACCTCAGATAAGCCATGCCTCTCCCCTGAACAGCAGCTGCCTGTCTCTTAAAGGAAGTGATGAATACGAACCACCCAACAGACATGAATCCCCAAGCAACACCTGAGGGTTGAGTTCTTACTCTGGACTCTGACTCGGGCACGGGTGGCAGCCCACTCTCTTTCTCATGTACCTTTGCCTCCTTGGCAAACCAGGGCAGACAGCCAGCAGGCTGGCCGCTCTTCCCAGCCAGCAGAGCCCTACCAGCAGGTGCCCTGGAAAACCACTTTCCCTTGGCCTCAGGAGGGGAGGGAGGGAATGAATCCTAACCACAAACACTGCACTCACCTTAAGGCCACACACACAT